GGGGGCCGAGGCGCGGTGGTGGCGAGGCAGGGCCTGGGCCGGTGGCGCGGGGCCGGTTTCACTTTCTGGCTTCTGGAAACTTTGGTGGTCTGGGTGAAGTCGTGCCAGCTCTGTCGTAAATCAGCGCGAGGTACTGCGGGCGGCAGTGTGGTATCCGCGGTGGGGTGTGGAAGGATCGCTCTGGCAGCGTTTGGGCAGGAGGAGGTGTGTCTGGGCTGACACGGGTTCTGGGGAGAGTGGTGCAGGTCTGCAGAAGACTGTCCGGTTTTTGTGGGTCTAGGAGATACTGTAGGTATGGAACGCATTGGCGTGTATGTAAAATAAGGCACCAAAAGACGACCAAAGCTTAACTGGCCTTGTGTGTTTTGTTGCTGGTCTTATGATCTTTGAAGAAAGCCTGCAATTGCTTTTTGGAGTGCTGTTAAAAAGTACAATCTAAAAACTACTTTGACTTAAGTGTAGGGGAGGAAAGACGCTTACTAACTCTTAAATTATTTTTATTACACTTGTTTTCTCTTTATGCTTTTATCTGAATATGTAGTACTTTCACCCTGTTCTACTGAGGGCTTAAGATTTCTTTATGTATAACTTTGAGTCATCCAGGAAGCCCTTAAGACCCGCCCCTATAAACAACAAAACCAAATTGATAGCCTTTTATTGCAGGAGTTGTGATAGCCTGGTATTTCAGAAGGTGGGGACGCAAAAGACATCAGGCATCTGTTGATGAACCTGTCAAGCTTTCATCATAAGGAAGCAAAAAAAACCCTGGTGTTTTTCTCCTTTCCAGGTCACCTCTAAGGAAAGAGGATTTAGCAAAACACAGGCTGTCATCAGGCAAGTGATGGAGATATAAACTATGTGAGGCAGGGGCAGAACTTGTGCAGCCTGGAAGGTGAGGATGAGAAGTTTCAGTTCGATGTAGAAAGAGGATAAAAGTGAGTTGGGGCGGGAGGGAGAGAAAGTTGTTTGTCTGTGTTTTAGAAAAACTGAAGAAGTGAGAGATGACAATGGGATGATTTAGGTTATAATTTAGAACAATGCCTGTCAAGGAGGCTAGCAGTCAGGAACAATAAGTGCATTTCCAAGAAGTAACAGGAAGGAGGTAGATTTTTAGAAATACTATCAGAAAAGTATTCTGTTTACACTTCCTGTGATTTTAGGGAATAAAAGGGAAGAATTAAGGAAGACAAAGAGAATTGGGAGGAGGATGATAGAACTGTTGTGCGGGGGGGGGCGCGGGGGCCAGGAAAAGATCAGGAAGAGTGTTGCAGAATCAACTCCTCTGAAACTAAAAAAAAAAAAATCTCATCTTCATCCTGAAGTTTGTGGTCCAATAATATGTAATATTCTATGTTTTTGAGATACAGGAAATCATGATATTCTGAGTAGATTCCCTACTGCCTATGGCTGTTATATCATACCATGAAGTCCTAGTTTACCCTTTTGGGAAATGGCTGTAAGGTGGTGTTTACAAGCTGTGTTGTGAACAACTGTTAAATTAAACAGTTAATTAAAAAAGGGAAATTAGTTAACTAGTGGCCAAACCAGTTTACTGTTCAATTGTTATGTGTAATGGATATGTGGGGTTTGATGTATATTTAATATTCTTGTATCCTTTCAGCTTTGTGAAATTGTAATTTGTGTCTCTGGCCCTTTTCAAAGACTTTCTCCAGTAAACTTGGAGTAGCAGAGTTGATACAATCTAAAACAATTGGAAGTGTCCCTGACATCCTCAATAACAAGGACAGTGGGGGAAAAAGTTTTAAGTACCTAGGTAGAGTAAAAGGAGGTATGAAGAGAGGCTGCGGCTTTCATATAAGAATTTATTGGGCTCAGTATAGGAAACTTTAGAAACAGTAGCTTGAGAAGTGGTGAATGGAGTGCTAAGAAGGAGCCAAGTATTTAGGACTTGAATTTAATTTAGAGTGTAGTACAATACTAATAGAAGGATTTTGGAGTAACCAAGACCTCAAAAGGCAGTCAGTGTAAATAACTTTTTGGTTACATATTGGGTTTATGGAGTGGGGTTACATTGAAAGAAATCAGTTTTCATTCATCTCTTGTTTCTGAAGGTCATACATAACTGTTTTCATGTTGTATGTAGTGATGATCAAGATAAACCTTCAATATTTCACATTAGGGGACATAACCCGTGAACAAATAATCTGTAGGGATTCTGAGGGGTTGAAATGCCTCTACTATCCTGTTATCTTTATTGCTAATGACAGACAGTTGTTCTCCTGGGTAAGGGAAAAAGTACGTATGCAAAAGTGTAAGAGTAACTGTTAATGGATTATAACTTATCACAAAGCGTGTACTTTTAAATCAAATTTGGATCTTTTAGTGAAGGATGCAGAAAATAGCTTTTCAGCAAATAAGACTTTAATTTGATTCTAATAGTTAAGTCATTAGGAGGGGAAAAAAATAGGGTTTTCTTTTGTTTCCAATACCCAGGTGGTCACACTGAGAGTGGTGATGTACTGTTGTATCACGAGTAAGGTGTTGCTGCAGATCTGAATGTATGCACTGCTTTGTATACAAGGGTCAGAGCTCTTACAGCAAGTTCGTTAATTATGTAGTTGTGAGACAGAATGGTTGGCTTCTTCTCTTGACTCTTAGATTGTACATCTGTATGACTTACAGGGTTTTTCTTCCTTAATAAAGCAATTTGGATTTCTCCAGTGTAAGGTGTGTCTTGATAGCATCTCAACATTCTTGCCTGCGATGCGTCTTTCTTTTATGTATTTTGTGCTCCATCTTCCTTTATTTTCCCTGCAAAATTTCAGTCTGGAAGCAAACCACACATTAGTAACAAAGAGCGTAAATAGCTGTTAAGGTATAAGGAGTTTGTTATTTGAAATTTCTAGCTAAGGATTTTATATTTGCCTGAAGGGTTTGCTACAGCATAAATACAAGAAGCATGAAGTAGATATGACCATGAAGTGACACTGCATTCTGGAGTTATCTTTGTCTGCAGCATTTAGGAAACTAATTGAGATGATTATCATGATCCTGTGTGGCCTCAAAATTGGAATTTCCATCCCTCTTGTAATTTTTTTTTTCTTCTAGCTCATGTTTAAATAACAGGCCTAGATAATAGTCTTAAAATACCATCCTTTTCTGTGTGCAGAATTCTTTGCAATCTATAGTAAAGGGCCATACTCCTGGACTAATGTGTGCACTTGAAGGCAGTGGTTAGTGGTCTATCTAAATGGTGAGGTTTTATTTTTAATCCCTTTATTCATGTTGTTTTAACGCATAAATGAAAGAATCATAGGAATTCCATTAAAAATTGAAATTATGTGGCAGTGATTTTTTTATATGCTGTTAATCAGTGTAAAAACATTTTTCAAGATTCATTTAAATAAAATTGTCAGATTACATGAAAATGTCTCAGAAATTATAGCTATTACTCTACTGAGTTGCACAGGACAAACCTTACTTGAAAGTCAATCCTAATGCATTTGTCCAATTTTAACAGGCAGAGGCTATCTGATATGCTATACATATTTTTAATGTAAAAGCATTTTTTAAGGAAATACCTAGAAATATTATATTCTGAATGGTATTAGGATGTAGAAACTTTACAGTGACATTTTTGTGCCTCCGAATGCCAAGATATGAACTGAGTCAGTCCTCCTTGTGTTTTCAAATATAATTTTGAAAATACACAAAAACCCTTCAGTCTTTTATGGGCTTTTTTCATGTTTCCTATTAAATTAGGTCCTATAAATTTTCTGTCTCAGCACTGTTTGACAACAGTTCTTTCA